GAGGCCTCCCGCCGTCGTCGTCGTCGCCTACTAGGGCGCGTTTATTGTTTTTTTTCTCTCTAATATAACTACTATCTAAGGCGCGCTATACGAGATACGCCGAGACGCGAAGGTAATAAAAAAGGAAATTTTATAGAAAATAGATACTTTAAAGAAAGAGCTACGAGATATAAACGTATAAATAGAGAAAATCGCTATAGTTAGCGATAGAACGAAGGAGTAGCAAAAGAGGCGATAGAAGTAGATAAGGTAGGAGTTATAATTATAAGGGACGTTAAGAATAACAACCTACAGAATTATAAGAGTGCGCTAATAAGCTATATAGCAGCAGTAGCGAGCGGTATACTAGCTAGCAGGACGCACAACCCTTACCATACACAGACCGTATATACCTAGAGCCAGCGTAAAATCATCGTAAACATTAGAAACCCAGTAACCGTTGAACGCTTGCGCGCAATAAACCCGCGGCATCTCAAATCCCACATTGACCGCGCCCTTAAACAGAGCGCGAACGAACAGATAGCAGAGATCAAAATCATGTCCGCTAACCAGCTCAAGAGTGGAGACATCGTCGTTAGGACGGCTAGCATCAGCGAGACACAGGCCGACTATATACCGAATGGAGTTTGCCAGAAAATAAAGGTCGCAAAGCTTTTCCGGGGAGGCTGAATACGACTTAGCAGAAGCTCTTCCACACTGTACAAGCCAAGCTACAAGGTACCTTGCAGTCACCACGAAAAAATCACGGTGCCACCTCACGAAAGCACAATCTTTCCATCCGCAGCCTGTTCATATACGACAGACTGCCTGTCCGCCAGAAAGAAACCCATGCATGCCCCCGATGCACGTCAAGCCAGCTGTGCTGGTTCACAGACAAATGATGAGATCATGGAGGCAGTAGATTCGACGCGCACCTCGGATAGTGGATGCCAATCGACGAGACAGGAGTGCCCTGCACGGCCGAAGATCAGTCCTATACCGATGAAAGAGTCGCAGAGCGAAGTACCTACCACTCTGTCCTCTTCCATTCCGGCCAGATGAAACGAACCGTTTCCAAGACATCGCTCATCAGCATACGCATCCTGCGGAGAGCTGCCACCGACCGAGGTCACGATCGTGCTGTGATTGAGGAACATGCACGAAAGGACAGCTGTCTGTCTCCGAGGGAGAATATGCGACCATGCGGCTCGAGTAGCATCCCTTGACGCTCGGATTTCATGCCAGGAATAGCAGTCCCAGCTGTCGTTGCTCCGAATGACACCGAGGGAGTTCCCTTGCTTCGAGAAGCCAGACATGAAGGCAAGTCAGCGCAGAGTGATGTGGCGTTGAGCTCTAGCAGCAAAAGGGAGGTTTGAGACACTAGCCGCCATTTCGAACTATTCACTGCGTTGCGCCAGCGAACGGCCGGTGTGCCATCAACGGAGTCCAACCTACAACATCATTTTCTCCAATGGATTTCCATTCCTCAACGAACAACATGTTCCGCACATCAAGACTCTTCAACTTCACTTTTACTTGCAGCTCTACCGACCTCCGACTTAAGTTTCTTGATTCGACTCTCGGATCACTTCCCAGTGAGCGACATCGCTCGCGCCCCATGTACTTCTGACCTGGCCATGCTTATACAACGAACTTGTGCGTACTCGTTCGTTCATGCAACACAGCCCGCACATGACGGGTCACAGGTAGATGCACAGCCCCCTCATCAGGGGAAGCGCCCTCCTGTGGCACTCTCGATGCATATTCTCCAGTATCAGTGTACACCACGGATGGGACAAGAGTCTCGCTGTCGGATTGCGCACCCACGCATGCCGGTGTCGAGGGTCCACATACACCGAATATGAGACATGATTGCTGCAGTCAAACCGAGAGAAAGCTCAACTAACGGTGGGGCATTGAAGCCTTTGCAAGGGGTTCCAGTTACTCTCCACACAGATCCCTGGCCACGAGGGTACCTAGGCGCAAAGAGATCATCCTTGCCGGCACGTGGCCCTAGAGGATGGCAGACGGTGTTTGATGTTGACGTTCAATCTTCGGCACAACTTTTACTTCGATTCGCAAACATCCACTCTGTCAATTCATCCTTGCTACACTGTTGCCCCTACCGTGGAAGCTCAGAAGTTACTCATAAGAGGCCTGCATTAGTCGCACGAGACCCAGATCTGTATGTCTATTGGACGAACGCGGTCATATTGTGCTCAGCGGGATGATCATCGGTTCATAGTCCCTGCGGGAGGGCAGGTCCAGCTGTTAAGTCTGGGCCTGACCAGTTCCTAAGCTATCATCCGCATAGCTTCTAAGCGTCTCATTCGATCCCAACGAGAGCATCCACGTGCTGAATGCAGAAATTCATTGCTTAGGGCTTGCGATGCGTCGATATTGTGTGAGACCATGAGGTGGGATATATATGCGACCGGGACTCAAGGTCGACACCTTATGAGATAGACAAGACCATCTTCCAATACTGCCCATCTCAAACAGCGAGCATGGCTCCATTTTCGAACTGGATCGCACTACTTTCCACCCCCTTTCTGGTTCAGGATTTCGTGGTTCATGCATTGCCGAACCCTGAATCATTACTCGACCAACGGAGCTCGGGAGCGGCCCCTGCGCCTCGAGTCCTTCTTCCTAGAGGGCGAAACGCAATTGACGGTCTCACTTCGACCGACCTTGTCAAGCGAGAGCCCGCCGAGCCACCTGCGAGTAATGGCGTTCCAGGCAAACACTCAACAACGCATACAACGGGCAGGGAGCATCGCGTTGGTGGAAAGCCCCCCAGTCCGAATCAGCAGAAGGCGGTAGCAAAGGGTCGTCATCCTCCTCAAACGCGACTCACTGCTATCGAAGCAGCCAGAGGAGGTACGGTCATCAAATCAGGTAGCGACCAGGTCGGGTCTGCGAAACCAGCTGGAAAGGGATTGGGAGAAAGCAAAATAGGGCTGTAAGAATGCTATGATCGATCCAGTATGTTTCAGCACGCACTAACCATAATAACGAACCATAGGGGTGATCCTCCGCACCCTGCGCCCGCGGAGAATCCCTGCGCCAGATTTCCAATGGAGACGGACGTTGATTTCGTGGGAACTGTTTATTATAGCCTCATCAAAGGCGCCGTGCACCAGCTCAGTGAGCCTGAGTGCCCCCCGGGAAGCATAGGCCACACGTACTCCTTCTCCACTAGTTGGAGCGTCAGCGGCCAGATTGGCCCGGATATGGTAAGGCTGAACGATACGCGTTTCGTCGTGTCCTCTGCTTGCTTGTGAACATTGTTACTTGATGGCTGATCTCATGCGTTAGAAAGCCACACTCCCTGGTCTCACCCGCTTTAAGAAATATCTTGACAAATTAGGCATCAGAGCGGGCGTCGCGTATTCCTGGACGTAAGACTTCGCCGCCCAGCTTGCGTGTGATTGCGGAGAATGCTAACAGCTTTGGTGAAGCAATACACAGAGTACGACGTACACGGGATCGGAAACTGGTGGCCAGAGTCACCCATTTGTGTTGACGTACCGACCGCTGATATTGGTCGTAACAGGCGATATTCAGGTACTTTGCCCCGCACACCGTTGGAACTATTCCTTTTTGTGTTCTGCATACTATTCACTCGAGGAATGGAGAGTACTGCTTCCGCTAACGACGTTTGAAAGGTCACTAAATACGTCACTGCTTTCAAGGAGCGCACCGTTTGCTCGGTCGATCACCCAACACGCATAGATTTGCATTTGCCCACACACGCAAACGACGACTGTGCTAGTAAGAAGACTGCATGTGGCCCAGGTGGAGGTATGTGGACAGACACAAATGAAAGATTATCATGTCCGCAGAGAGAGAGAGAGAGAGAGACAGAGCGTCTTACTAATCAGAGATGTAGTGATTTGGGACCATTGCTTTTTCCTCGGTGCAGAGGCCAGATATTTATGCCCAGATCGCAAATTGGGTCCTCCACCAGAGCCAGGACGTCAGTGCCCAGCGAGCTGGTATTTTCCGCAGTTCATAGATGCCCAAGGGAGGATCAAGTCTTAAAGACGGTGGACTGTTCACGAACTCGCTGCGTAGCTCAACCTTGCAGGGAGTAATCGTGTCTGAGGTGCTGCATGGATTTAGGCGCTTGGCTTGCCATCCACTCGCCTACGCTTGCCCCACAGATCCTCGCTCCTTTCTGTAGTTTCTCTGTCAATCGACATATACGCTTAATTCCATTTCCCATGGTAGGCTGGTGTCTCAATTTCGTAATTCTGTATCACAAAAGTGGCGCGCGCACCGTACGCGTTGTACAGTATCACCTGCCGCTGCGCCACGTCCGGCCGGCCCCCAGCGCTCTTGCCTTCGAAGAAAAAGTTGGACGCAACCAGCAGAGAGATGCTGGTCGAGGGCGCGATGTATTGGCAAAGGTCGCGGCGGATGCGCTCGTCTACCTGTTCTGGACGTGCCCCGTAATATTTATTAGGCTACGCCACTTTCAAGCCTGGAGCGAACTTCTCCAGGTTGTTAAATTGTATTTTTCCCTCTGTTTCGAGTCGGTTGTCCTTCGCTCCTGTAATAATAGGAACCACGCTCGACATGACTTTTGCCTCCGATTTCGCCCTTCGATTCGTCTCTTGGAACTCTTCGAAGGCACCCTCCGAGAATGCCGATAGGGACAGTGACGAGCGCGTGCGTGGCAGCACATGACGAAGTTCGTCCAGTTTAGTCGGCTTTGGTGGCCGGGACCCATCTAGACCGCGATATCCGTCAGGGAAGACGCCACGATCGGCAAGCATCTGCTGAAACTGGGAGTTGTACGGACCAGTGGTGCCGGATATCTTCGTGCCTTCGCTGCTGGCAGACCGGAGTCTCGTGTGCGTTTGCCTTTTCGCGAACTTGATTTTCTCATATTGGCGGCAGGTTGAAGCTGAGCAGAGTACTGCAATCATCATCAATATAGAAGGATGCGAAGGTCTGTAGCATGCTCACGCCTCGAAGATGATTCAAGTTGGGCCCTCCGTTCTTCGCAAAGTGCGGGATTTTCATGGTATCTGACCTCAATAGCTGCGTCGACCTCTTCCCTACTGCTACCTCCGGCGCGCTCTTCTCCACAGCAGTGCGACGATCAAACTCTTTCAGCGCCGGTCGCGTCAGCGTAGTCTTCGACAACGCGTCCCAGACTCTGGCGGGTACTTGTGGAATCAGCCCTCCTCCGCTTCGCGCTCGGCTGCTCCTCGAGATCTTCGCGCGTGGGATGGGTTCGCTGGGGTTGGCGCTGAGTAGTCGTCGTCAGGCGGCATGGAGCTGACAGGGTCGCTCTCGCAGCGCAGCGGGTCGCATGTTGAATGCAGAGACAGAGCAGCCGCTGCGGAGGCGCGACGTATTTCGCTGGGCGCCTTCATTCGATCGGCGTTGGGTGAGCAACGCCGACTGCGCCAGAATGGCACCAACATCTAGGCAGCAGTACACGCTGTCCTGTGGTTAGCCGCGCGCTCTGCCCGGATCCATTTCAGATGGCGTCATGACGATCTCGCTGCAATGTCAGCTGCAGTCGTCGAACTCTTTTTCGCAGAGCACACGCATTCGTCCGAATATGAAGCTTCTAATTGAACCATCTGTTATTCATTCATTAATATTTCTTCCACCGATGTAGTTTCCATACGGGTCCATGCGGGAGCTACTATATATTCTCTAAAGAGAAAAACCGTAGCCGGAGCCTAAGTAAAAAGCTCCTCTACCTATTCGTCTTCTATACTAGAGAACTACTTAAATAGTAGGCTGCTTCTCTTGCAGCCTAGGTAGCGTTAGTCGTCGACGTCGCGCCCCTCTCTTATTCTTCGCCGGCTCCTCTTCCTCTATATATCCTACGCTAGACTAAACTATAGAAGAATATTCTATTCTATAAACTACGCTATTATAGCGTAGAGTCTCTTCTCTATCGAGAGTATTTCGAGATAATCTTACGTCTCTACCTTCTATATTATTTTATTACGATCTTATTTAAGTAGAGATAGAATAGTATAATATATTTCGCTATCTAGCGTACGAACCTATATAGGTACGCTAGGGACTTATAATCGGGTACCTTTCGGTAATAGAGAGAGTCGTTTAGCCCGATATATTCTATTTATAGAAGCGTTACGATCGTATTCCCTCTATATATACCCTCTTAGAGTAGAGTACTTATACTTAGTTTAAAGTAATATATATAACGTCGAACTAGCTATAGTATCTATCTCTTAATATCTTTACTATAATAGAGTAAAAAAGATATAAATAGGAGATATTCTATAGTATAAATAATATAATATAGGTTATAAGGCGTAGGAAGTAAGCTAGGTAAGCTTAGTATTATTTCTTACTACTAGTAATAATCTACTAAGCTTAAGTTAGATCTTATAGCCTATAAGATATAGTAGAAGTAAGTAATAAATTTTATAGCTCTATATAATCTAAGAGCTCTTAACTAAAAAAGTAAGATAATATATTAGCTAACTCGCCTAATAGACTTAGAGATAAAGTAAGTAACCTTATATATAGTCTAAAATATCGTTACTATACTTCTAGAAAATATATAGAAGTTAATAGTAGTAATAATAAAATAAGACTATAGAAACTATAAAGGTATTACTAATCGATTAGTAGTTATTCTTTAAGGATTCTAGATACTACTAGCCGATATAGAGTAGTAGGTATAATTATTAGTTTCTCTAAATAATATAGATCTATTAACTATACTTATTATAAATAGAAGTCTTAGTCTTAGTAGCTTATATAATAACTACTTATAGGTAGATCGTTTAAGGCCTACTTATAATAATATTACTAAGGATAATTATATAAGTATAAAATATTTTATTTATCCTTATATATACTACTAATAAGAATAGTTTT